CCGCACGGGAAGCCTTCCGCAACGAAGACCCCCGAGGACCGTGCAGCACTTTGACCTCCGATCCAATTCGTTGTCCTCTGCGGAGAGAACTGCTGTTGCTTAACTGCTGTCGCTTTTGCCTCCGGATGTGCTGCTTACAATACCCGGCGGGCGAACGACCAAAGCTCCTCCCTAGGCTCCAAGGATTGTCGTTGGGACCAGAGTACCGCCTGTTAAGCCACCGCCCCAAGCTGCGACCAATCAGGCAGCTGCGAACCGCGGTGCGGCAAAGCCAGTTCCACCGCCACCTCTGAGGCAGCCGCCAGCACCTCCCGCCCAGCACCAAGGGCTGCAAGCTCAAAGCGCAGTATGAAGGCCGCCCGGTCTACTGGCCACCGTTCGCGAATACCAAGGCCGTCTTGACAACCGGACAGTTGACATCACAGAAGCCGTCACGATCGCCCAAGATTGGCATCACACAATAGCTTTGGCAGACGGAGAGCCGCAAAAGTGGCTTTGGAGGTCTTGCAGTTTTGCATCGTGTCCCGTAGCAAAAGGCGCGAAGCCCGCGAGAAGGTTCTCAGGAGATCTGGCAGATTCATCCACAACGTCAACGACAGCAATTTCCAACCATGTTCGGAAGCGAAGTGCATTTGCCCCTACCAGTTGTAATATAAATCCACCTTTGCCTGGACCACGGCTAAAGCGCGGTGTGAGGGATTCCAGAAAATGATAGGTCAAGATCATTTTCTGGAGGCGAGTGAAACGAGGACGACCCTGATCTGTGATCCGGTACCCGCAATGTCCGCTATCGCTCCTGGTTCTAGGTCTGCGTCATCACGGGATGCCCGTGGTCATGCGAACACGACTACGCCAACATCATAGGACCCACTTCCGACACAACCCCTGCGGCTTTTAGCCCTCCAATTGCCTGACGCCTCAAGATACATGACGGCAGCCGCTATCGTAGCCGGCTCGGCGTTACAACGTGCCCGCCATGCCGCAAAAGCCGCCGGCCAGGCAGCGGATGCTCTTCGAGATTCGCAGCCAGCAGTCGAACGCGCCTGCGCGCAACAGACGCTTGCTGCACAAGATGCCCTACATACTCAACAGGAAGCCGTAGGCCATGTTAACCTTGTGAGACAGGAAGCCATTGGCCATGTCAACCAGGTAAGACAGGAAGCCATTAGCCATGTTGAGCGTGCTAGGCAAGAATCCGAATTGGCAAGAGCTCAAGGTGAAGCCGACGTGTTGAGGCTGGAGCGGCAGGCCCTGAGTGAGATTTCTTCTCGGGGGCGTGATAACTCGTTGATGGCGCAACGCTTGCTGACCTTGAAAATGCCGTGTCATCCTTAGCGCATCAAGTTCCAGTCCCTCCGGATGAGGGTGCATCCCGGACAAGTAGCCGCCAACTGTGAGGGTTGCACGGTTCCCCTCAGCAAGATCCTTCCAATGCCTTGCGTGAGCCGTGTCCCCCGAAGGATGCAGCTTAAGGCGCATCGAGAAGTTTGGGCAACAACCGCAAACCCGCGCCACGTGTGCCTGTTGGTTTCCCAAAATTCTTCGGTAGCCCGCAGCCCGACGACTCGGAGGCGCAGCAAGTGCTTGCGCAGGATGATGAGCCGCGTGCGCAACCGCAAGGCGTTTCATCCGCCGCTCGGACACAGGGTCTAGGGGGAACTTGAGACGTCCAGGAAGAAATTTGCTCTTGGACTGGTTGGTTTCATCAACTTTCCCAACTAGTTGTTGAACGGCATGGGTTCAGGATCGCTCCCCCGATTGCCAAAGCGCTGTCTCACGCGCCTGCCGTGTTGGCCCAGTACACCTCTACTGGTAGTAAGCAAGTTCCCACGCTTCGGCTAACAAGCGCGGGTCCAAGTCAAGTTGTGAAAGTAGTTTCTTCGCCGCACGCGCCGCCAGAAGCACATCATCGCGATGGTGGCAACCATGCCACCCGCCGGGTCTGTGGTGGTCCGCATGATTCCGCTGGCCCCACAACACGAACTCGGTCACTTTGCAGGGGCAAGGATCTCAAGCGTATGATGCAAGCGGTGGGATGCAGCTGGAAGCGCATTGGATCCGGCCTCTTACGAGGAAACCGTGGCTTGCGTCCAGGACTGCAGCGTCACCCCTTCCAGCCTCAACATCAACCTCAACTTCATCTTCGTCACTACCTCCACCTTCGTCCCGTTCATCGGCACCCCTTGCTCCTCTGCACCGGGTTCCTCTGCCGGTGCCGCAATTGGTGTCTCGTCCGGCAAGGAAGTCAATCCTCCAGACGAAGCCTCCGCATGATTCTCGGGGAAATCCAAGATCCCGAGAGGAGACTCCTTGAGTTTCCCCAACGGTCCGTGCCCGTCTCATCATTGGTTACAAAGTAAGGAATGTGATCCTTAACGCGAAGGCGAATCACCGACTGCCGATCATCGAACATGATGGGCTTTTCCCCAGGCATCCGCAGAAAACCAAAACCATTGTCAGCGCATCTCTTCCCAATAGACAAGACTGATGGTGATTCCTCCAGTACGAATGGCGATATCGTGTCTTTGATCTCATCGAAAATCAGATCAACTTTCTGATCAGCCCCTGTGACCCCATTCGCTGTCATGAAGGTCATTGCCTCTGAAGTCATCCTTCAATGTCGAGCCACCGGAGCCCATGTCCAGGCTGCTCGGCCGTAGCCCACATCTACATCAACGCGCCCGCAGAGTCGCACGAACCCAGTGAACGCAGCTGTGAGCGCGTTAAAGGGCGCCGTCAAACAGTAGAACTGTTTTGTTCTATCACGGGTACTCCACCCGAGAAGCTCCGGCAGGTGACGACAGCATTCTGTCCAGACGGATCGCCCCCCGAAGACGAAAAGTCGGCCGGCGAGCTTGCTCCAGCTAGGCATTTAGCTAGGCTAACTTCTTCTAGCAACTCGACCGCACACTATCGGTTGGTTGGTATCATCAATGATCTCGCTCTGCACGCTGATGCCGACTTTGCCGGGGAAAGGGGTGCAAAGCCCACCCCTCATTTGGATTCCTGATTGTCAAAAGGACAAACTCGCATTTCTCTTGGGAGAATAGCTTGGGCCCGGCAAGGGTGTGGTGATCCACGATGTTCAACAGAATTACAAATCGCCGCAACCCATGAAGTGAGACGACGCCCTCAAGCGTTTAGGCATTCAAACGAACTTGCCCGAAAAGCTAGAAGATGTTCGAGTTTGCATGACGGAGTCATGAAGAGCGTGTAAAATCTTGCGTGAGCCCTTTAAGCGGGTTGGTAAAGGACCGGATCGTGTGTGCAGATGGCAGCCCAAGCACGATTGCAAAGCACTGCCTCTCAGCAACCTCGGGGAGGGGGAATTGAATAATCACGACGCCTGGAACCCCAAAGAGGCGCCCGTACTGCACACAGGTCATGAGGCCACTTGACTGCATGCATGTTTCAAGGTTTGCCGGCGGCAATGCCCGTTTACGAATGCTCAAAACAACAGGGTTAGTGCCCGCTTGCCGGTCTGGGGTTGATAAAGGTCCCATCTCGTGGTTCGCTGCGTCCCTTTCCCTGTTGAGTATTAAGCGTAAGTTCGGGTCCACATGTCTCACGCAAGATGTCGCGCAAGTTCGGCAATTTGCTGCGCAAATTTTCGCATGCAACTCGTTGCGCGAGTTCTCTTGTGCAATTTGTTGCGTGGGTTTTCTCGTGCAACTTGCTGCGTGAGTTTGCTTGTTTTGCCGTGCAATTTGCTGCTTGAATTGGCACGAGAGCTCTCGTGCCATTTGCTGCGCATGTTCTTTCGTGCAACTTCAGGTGGCGGCGCGTGGTCAGCTTTGAGGGCCAGCGTTGTAACTGCAATGGCTATGGGCCTACATCAGCACGGTGACGCTGTGACAATGCAGAATTGCAGCCAACGGGGGCCTAAAACAGCTGCTGGGTGCCATTCAGCGCACACCACACCGTTCTAAACTCCTTGTAAAGAGTTTAGTACTCGGCGACCGTTGGTGTTGGTTGAGATAACGTCCGTGATGGCGTTGGGAAAGTCGCTATGGTTTCGCCGAAAGTCATTCTTCGCGCGCGCTCACGTGTATATTTTGCATGGTCCCTTGTGCATGTGCTCAATCTCCTGGCTGTGCGGCAGGGGCGGCTTTTCCGGAAGAACCGCATTGCATTAAGCGCCTCCCGCCAGCTGCCGCTGACCCCTGCTTGGCGCCTGGCTTCCCAATGTTGTGGCAATGCTTACAAAATGTGAAGAAAGTCGAAAGATCCGACAGAGGCGTTTCGAAATTGGGCAGCTATGAAAATCCGGGCGCATGGCAGGATAAATTAGCGCAGGAAGGTCAACTCGGTTAAGGAACTTCAACTTAGGAAGGAAGGGAGGGAGGGAAGGGAAGGAGGAGGTAGGCAGGAAGCAAGGAGGAAAGGAAGGAAGGAAAGTTTGAGCAAGGGAATCTTGGGACTAGAGGCACTAGTATTGCTGATCGGCGCCATGGAACAACGAAGCAGTTGCAAGGGAGAATTGTATTGCACAGACCCTGCGTACAACCAAACTTTGGACCGGCTCTCCAGCATGTCCCCGCTCTGCTCCAGCTGACCTGTTTAGTCACGATTTATCATCACAGGCACGCTTTCTGCCCTCCCTTGTCTCAGGCATCCACAAAGCGCGCACGCCGCATATCCATGAAAACTCAATTTATTAACCTGGCAAAATAGGGTACCAGGAGGATTTTGCTAAGGTCCTCGTCCAGACGGTGTCCTCCCCTTTCCGGGCGCAAGCGTTGGTTGACTTCCGAGTAAGGAATTTAAACAGCACGGCTATATTTTGTATTCTCCATTTGTGCTAGTTTCGAATTGGTTTCAAATTGGTTTAGGATGGTATTGGTTAAGTATTGTTTTTGTTCGGACAGTAGTACCTTTGAACCGACCCTTGCACTTGGTTTGCACCAAAAGGTCCCCGCCAGCAATTTCAGTGCTCTTATCTGAGCCCAGATCCAAACAGCCAGTTGACAGAAGTTGATGAACTGGGATTACAGCCCGAAATTTGTGTTGAAGGATATTCAAAGGAAGTACCAAATGGGTGGGTTCTGGATGGTTGGTTTGATAACGGATGTGCCAAGCATTTGGTCCCGAACAGGTGTTAAAAGAGTTGGATAGAAGTGTTGCCGCTTCTAGGATGTGTTCCGTGTTCAAGGGGATCTGATGAAGTTGTCATCATGAAAGTAGCCATCCCGGGGGGCTTGGAGGCAAGCTCGTGATTGACCTATTGCCATTGTTTAAATGGCCACCTCAGCCGGAACCTGGAGAATGCTGAAGCAAAGCTGTATGGCTGAGGTGGTGAAAGCACGTTTGAAATTCGGTCACGCTCCCAAATGTGTAGAGAGTTTAGCAGGTTGGGTCCACTCCGAGCCAATGGGGCTCCAGACCGCCTCGGGCTGCTGAAAGCCGTGTTAATTGGACCGAATGTTGAGATGCGCAGCATGAACAAGCAGGCAGAACAGGAAAACCGAAACCCGTTGCTCTAAAGAAGCAGCGGAGGCTAAGATGAGACAATCCTAGGCTGAAGAGTTGCTTCAAGGGCCGTGAGGCCCGTGCGCCAGAACCATTGGTGTTCCAGAACATTTGGATACATTTGGGTAGAGTTTTGGTCGGGCTGGCGTAGGGAGTCAGATCGCGAGGCGTTCCGCACAGGCCGTTCCAACAAGTTCCAGCGTAGGCAGGTTCGTGTAAGCGTGTTTTCAGCATTGGGAGATTTGGGGTCGGGAAAGAGTTACGATTATCTTAGATGGGGATACGGTGCATGTAATAATTGTATTAGGGGGAAGTCACATGTTGAAACGTGATTGAGCGAGAGTTTGCCTTTTCACCCTCTAGAGTCACACTGAGCTGAGTTCCTATGAAACAATTGCCTCGATGGATTGAAAAGGGATATGCCAAGTGTTTAATGTTGAGTCCTTCATGGAATCGAATCTGGAGAGAAAGAAGGAGATCCCCTATTCTCTATTTCTCTCTATTGGAGGATTACTGAGAAGCCGCTCGTGGTCCCTTCAAGGCTCTTGGGCCGCTACTTAAGTTCTCGTGCACCTTACTGGGGCTTTGCGGCAGGGAGGTGAACCTTTCTTAACGATACTTCTGAGGTAATTTGTCTCGAAAAGATAACAGATAATGGATGAGATCCGGTCCAAGATAGACGTAAATTAAGTTGAAGATGAAGATGTGTCATGCAAGTACTAAGATTTCCTTACGCCTTCTTGCTTCACTGCATCTAGTTGGATTCCTGCCAATAAGTATAGACAATGTAGGGATGTCCAAAGTTGTAAAGTTGCTGGTCCAAAGTAAGACTCCTAAGTTGTAGTTGCACCGTACCTTCCTGTGTCCTTTTCAGAGTCCAGGAGCGGGGGGCGCAGACTTTCGTGGAGTCCCTGAGCGCCTGGAGCCCCCGCGCCCTGGAGGAGTCGGGGGCTTCGTGTCACGTGACGCGCGTCGTGTGCGTGTCAGTCCGCGTCGCGTTCGTTTTCGGACTGACGCATTCGTGTTAGTCCCAGATTCGCATCAGGAGATGTGCGAGCTTGCCAGTCGGGAGTACCTGAAAATGGGCCGCGTGTGTGCCAGGCAACCAAGGCGACCGCACGGGCTCGATTGAGCTGCCTTCAGGTTTTCTTTTAGAAGGAGCCTTCCTTATTTTGACTCCTCTAGAAACGAGCTTGATGGTGACTCAACAGATGCTTGATGTTAACAGGAAATGGCAATGACCGGTGGCGCCGAAAACGCGAATGGAAGGTGCGGGAGGGAAAATGTTGACTGGTTAATAAACAAATCAGCAAGCTATTGCCATTTTTTGGGAGATTGAGGGGAGTGACCGGGAGCGGGGGGCAGAGAACATCACCTTTGGAAAGGCCAGTTATTTGGCAAGCTTGGTTGCTGATTTTTTCAGGTAAAGAACCCATGTCTTTTGAACACGTTGCTAGCACCCTCTCTTTGGGTCAAAGGTTGGGGATGTGATTGGAGCTGAGGCGTTCGGCTCTGTCCCAACTGTATTTTGTCTGACGCATGCGGCATGGGGTGCCGGGCCTAGGCTGTGAGGAGAGTAGCGATGCCACGGCCTTGCGGTTGCGTCCCAATACGCGTATGTTTGTTTCTGGTGGCACTGAATACGCAGACTTACATTTTGCAGGGGGCTTCCGTCAGGTTCGATGCTCCTTCAACGGCTGAATTTTCGTAGTCCGTGCATTTGCCTGAGTGGGGAACACCCATCCATCCTCCATGGCATTGCTTCCTTCTTGGCTGTTGGCGAGACTTGATTCAAGAAGTAGCCAAAATGACGTTTGGGTCACCCTTTCCCTTGTGCAAGTCACAAAGGCTTGCGTTTGTTTTGTGGATGGCTTGCCGCATGCTTGGCAGGGATGCCAAAGCCTACTTCCGTAACAAAGCGAGCAGGGGCGCCCGGACTTCGTGGTGGTCGCACCGAGGTTTGCTTTTCAGTCCCCCTTGGAAAGGCAAAGGTGGACCCTGAAGTGTGGTGTAACCCTCAAAAGAGGGGGGTCCCTCTTATTTATTTCCTCAGGCAAGGTGAGTCAACAAGGCAGGCCCTGTCCGGTGCTAGCGCACTTTTGTGGCCCCTGGCTGGAGTTTCCTGGGAAGAATTATGTATCAAACGCCGGGACGCTTATTCCAGCCCGTGGTGGCAATCACTTTGTACAGATTTGCCTGTCGCAGATAGGTCAAGCATAACTTGAGCCCGCAAGGAATCGGACTTGAGGTAAAGAGCTGGAGCTGAGAAAGTGGCCTTCGCGTACTACAGTTGTACTAAAATTTGCGATTCTCAAGCCGGAGCTCGGAAAGTGCCCGACGCGTACTGAAATAAATTCCTCGCGCCTTTTCGTTATGTAAGGGGACGTCCCTTAACTTGCTTTGCAGGCCCAAACCATTGTAAACCGATACAGAGGAGAAAAAAAGAGCAAAACGATACCCCCAGAAGCCATCAAGACACACATCAGGTCCAAGTTGTTGTCGCAAACCAAGATTGCGGAATCAGACATTTGCAGGGCCCAAACCGATACCCAAACCCATGCCCAACTGACACCCAACTCATTAGCTGCTGTACAAATCAAACTGACCATGCCTGGACAAGAAAACGGTCTGGTTTGAACGATGCCCCGAACGATGCCCAAACGATGCCCATATCGCTGGCATAGCCCGCAAACTGGAGCCAAGAGCCTGTCCCGGAATGTTCTCTAGATCTTCTAAGGAGATCAATCGCAATTTCACAGCTAACCAGAGCAGATGAAGAGCATTCACAGCTATGGATGCTGCAGAAGGTACGCTTTGCGCCGCGGAAGCGGAGGAATCGCCGCTTTTTTCTCAGTGTTTTACGGAAACCCTCGTGTGTGTGTGTGTGTGTGTTTGCGTTTGTTTGCGTCTGTTTGCGTTTGCGTTTGTGTTTGTGTCTGCGCGTGCCCAAGCCGGCCAGTTGCGCCACAAGATGGTAGCAAGCTAGTTGCGCGTTGTTTCATTTGCGTCAATAACGTGGTTCCATTACGACCCTTCTGAACCAGGGAAGGCTTTTCAAGGCGAGATGGGGTTGGGTTGCTTTCAGCATGGGCCGGGATGTAATAGGAAAGTGCGAAAACAACCAGCGGCCTGGGCGCCTTGGGTTAGAAAAACCCAGGGGCGCTACCTGATGTTTCCCTCTCACATTTGATCCTAGTGCCGGGTGAAACACAAACACGGACTCCAAGACTCTGAGCAGAAACTAACACAGCATTTTGCTTGTAAACCTGGCTTTTAATTTGCGCTGCACCCATCAAGCCAGTATCCCGCCCCTCGTTTCGTTAAGGTGCCCGGCACTATCCTTTGCGAGGTGATTGAACACATCGCAATTCGAAGAGATTGCCAGAGGGTGTCGCCGCAAAAAGGCACGTTAAGCACTTCTGAATGCTTCAACCAGAAGGCACAAGGGAAACTCACATTGGGACGGATCTTGAATCTACTTGAGATAACTTTACTGTTGATTTTTCGAGCGGCCAACTTGTTCAAAAGGGTTAGGGGCCCAGTAGAGAGTTTCACTTGCACAGCACAAGGTTTTCTCGAGAACGACCGATTTGAGCCATGGCAACTAAAACATGACGAAGCTATCGCTTCCAAGTCCTTGAGGCAAGTGCCTCCCTTGGTGTACAGGTCCCTTGGATATACTCCTGGCTGTTCTTCATTCACCTTCCGCAAAAGGGTATATAGCAATTGTAACATGGGTTAGGCACCACGGGGTTGAGCGATTTGAACAAGGGGGTTGCGCAGCCACTCTTGGCCCCGTAAATTGAATCGGACCCCAAAACCGGGGGTGGGGGGTGGGGGTTGGGCTCGCCAAGAGGGAAAACTAGGGCCATTTGACCAGCGCTTGGTGGATTCTAACTTTTGTGATATTTCCCGCACTTAAATGAAGAACTATAGTTGTGTTTTCCTTTGTAGGCTTTTAGAGTGATGAAGACCATCTAAATATTCGTGTATTAATTGTCCTTCAAATCATTTGAATAGGGATTCTGGAGGCTTGGCTGCAGTAATTAAGCACAGTAAGATTGTTAAAATCATGAAAGCAGGAGCAACCTTTAGCTGGGTCCCCCCAGATTTCGTCTGAACACGATGTTGTTTTGGGGTTCATTTTGGCTTGCAGGAGTGCACCCTCAGTTGAAAAAACCATTGTGGTTTCAGCATATGTCAAGAAGGGATTGGCCCAGTCCTGCTCTTTTGTTTGTGTTGAAAGGCATTTGTTGAGCAAGCGAGTGGCAGATTTCAAGCCGTCCAATGTAGCAAACGTCATGCCCTTCATTTAAGCCACATTCAATAAACACTTGAGTAGATGAAGGTTAGTACGGGGCAGTCCCCAAACATAAGGAGTTGCATCCGGCTGTTTGATTCTTTACATGGGTTTGAGACCCTGAAATTGCAGGTTTTGATTTCATCATTAGTCAGTCCGGCTGTCCATTTCGTGCGGGCCGCCTGCTGAGGAAAGGTGGTGGAGTCTCGTATCGTCCATCCCGAGAGGAAGGCAGGGACTGAGTGAGGCAAACAGACAATGGTTGCCATTGCTCCAAAGGGATCACACGTTGCCAAAGGGGCGACGCTAGAACGGGGCTCGGCATGTGTCCTTTTGTTTGTTTTTGCATCGCCTTTTGGTCGGTGGCCAACGTACATGTTGCTTCATTCATTCTGAGGGACAATGTTGTTTGAGCCGCGCAAAATTGGTATCAAGTCTATTCCTTTGGTGTCCAAAATTCAACAAGGGGAGGCGGTCGGGGGGGCCCAGAACGATTCTGAAAAGGAAGTGCAAAGCCGTGTTGACGCTTGGTGCCTTGTGGGCTTGTTGCTCAATTTGAAATCATAGGGGAACAACCAATTTTGGGGCTTTTGTGTTTGGAGTCAAACTTGAGCAACTTGACTAGGAACATCTCCAAACGGCAGACACATGTGAATCCAAGCAAGTTTTGGGATGTCCGATAAAAGGTTCCATTTCCTTTGAACATTTGTACTGAACCTGGCAACTATCCAAACGAGGGAGGCAAAACAAGTGAGGCCGCATAGGAGAAGGGTTTGCAGCGGATTTTCTTGTTTGAGTCTCCCTAGTTTCGGGTGCGCGTGGGCATTGAGCTGCACCCCGGAAGCTCGGACACGAGCCTGGGCCACGCCGTTGGCCACGCCGTCGGCCACGCCGTCGGCCACGCCGTCGGCCACGCCGTCGGCCACGCCGTCGGCCACGCAGTTGCTGCAAGGGTGATGCAGCGCAATGCCGCAATATGGCAAGGCTTTGTTCCCTCCATGCTGCCACAGTGGGACTCGGAATCAGGCTTGTCCGCAACTGGTCACAGGACTTGCTTTTGTCGTCCATCTCATCCAACCTGGCACGATCATCTCCCAGCTGGGAGGTGCCGCCCGTGATCTGGACTGTTCTCACCGCAGGATTTTTTTCAACGGCGTGATGCTTGACCTGGTGTCTTTCTTGTTGCATGGCTTGAGCAGCCGGTTGCACTGCGCAAAATCCGCACCCGCATCTAGTAGAACTAGAGGACGGTTGGCCCGAAAGCATTTTCCCCCAAGCTTTTCCCATCATGTGCTTTTCCAGCCGCGGAGACGCCCTTTTACATCGATGCAGCAGCTTCTGCAAAGCAGGCTCGTGTAACTTGGCTCTACGTAACTTGACTCTATGTAACTTGGCTCTGTGTAACTTGGCTCTGTAACTTGGCAAACTTGGCTCTATGTAACTTGGCTCTAACTTGGCTCTTGTGGCTCTATGTAACTTGGCTCTATGTAACTTGGCTCTATGTAACTTGGCTCTAACTTGGCTCTGTGCAACTTGGCTCTGTGCAACTTGGCTCTATGTAACTTGGCTCTATGTAACTTGGCTCTATGTAACTTGGCTCTATGTAACTTGGCTCTATGGTAACTTGGCTCTATGTAACTTGGCTCTATGTAACTTGGCTCTATGTCACTTCGCTCTATGTAACTTGACTCTGTGCAACTTGGCTCTGTGCAACTTGGCTCTGTGCAACTTGGCTCTGCGCCACTTGGCTCTGTGCCACTGGGCTTGGCTCTGTGCCACTCACTTGGCTCTGCGCCACTCGGCTCTGTGCCACTCGGCTCTGTGCAACTTGGCTCCGTGCAACTTGGCTCTGCGCCACTTGGCTCGGCGCAACTTGGCGCGCTACTGCCTGGCGCGCGCGGGGGGGGTTTCCAAAAAGCTGGTGATGCTGGCGATGTTGACGATGCTGTGGCAGCTAGAGACCGCAAAAAAAACCTGCGCGCTGCGACCTGGCGCGCGCGGGTTTTTCCGAAGGCTGGCGGTGCTGGCGACGCAGGCGATGTTGCGGAGCAGGCTTACGAGCTATCTTGTGCTAATCAGATTGCGCTTGCAGGGTCATCATCAGCTTGCAGGGTCTCTGACTTTCCAAGGCAAGGTCCACGGGGGCAACATGGAGGGGCAACAAAGCCGTGCGACCCCTCCACTGCAGCGTGCAGGTCGCAGTGCGCCCGAACAGCTCCCCTACTCAAGTTTGAACCTGACAAGTCGAGATTTTGACCCGCTGCTGTCAGCCAAGCTGAGGGAAAAGCTGAGGGAATCGGGGGCTCCAGCGTAGCTCTTCTTTTCTACCGCTGGGCGCGTCTCGCGTCACGACAGTGCCTCAGCAGAGTGTCATTGCCGATGCGTGGACCATGCAGTTCCAAACGGCCGCATCGAAAATGGCAAGAAAGCAAATGATCACGTGCGATCGCAGGGAAAACAGATAGATCGCACTAGTCCACGCCAGTCAGCGATGAAAAACCGCTGGGGCCATCATCAGCTTGCAAGGTCTTTGCCTTCGAGGCATCGTCCGGGTCCGCGGGGGTTTCAAGGAGCCGGTCCAAGTCGAGGTGCATGGGGGTAACGTGAGGGGGCAAGAACCCATGAGCTTACAACAAAGCGGTGCGACCCCTCCACTGCAGGGCGCAGGGTACCCGAACAACTCCCCCAAAACACCTGCTAAACATTAGACTGCCGTCCTTGGCTCCTTGCGTGTCCCCAGGATCCCAAGCGGCTTTGCTTTCCTAGAGTAAGGCAGCTCATCTGCCTTTTGGAGCTAGCTGTTCGCGATTTCTGCATGCACACTTGAGACGGACACGCTCTTCCCAAGACCGGGCCGAAGCGCTCACGCTCGCAAGCGCGCAAGCAGAAAAAGTGTGACCTAGCCAGGGCTGCTTTTCCTAAGCACTCGTCGGCGCTTTGGCCGCGACGAGGCCGAGGGCGCCTCGCGTAAGTCACCAACTACAGAGCGGATATATTCGCTCTGAAGCCAGCCTAAGCTGCGAACGTAGCCTTCGGCTGCTTTCGTGCTCCGAGCTGACATCTCCTCGAACTTCTTCATCCGCTCGACCAGTGTGCCGTTGTGCTGGTGCAAGAAGCCTTCGAAGTACTGTCGGTCAGGCAGCCCAATGATCATCAGGTCGCTCAGCTTGGTGGCGCGCGACAGCATGACGTACAAAGCCAGCCCATAGTCGGCCTCCTTCATCCATGACGGCTGCGTCAAGAACGCGACCAGTCCACGGCGGGCAGTCACGCCCTGAAGCCCGAAGTGCGTGAGCACCTCCCTTGGCGCCAGCGGCACCTCAGGCAGACGAAAGCGCCTGAATTCACACTTCGCATTCCATGGTGTTTGCCACCCTGAGAGCCCACTCGGATTTGCCCCCCCCCCCTAGCCTGCTTGCGCACAACGTTGAACTTCGGCTGCTTGCCGACCTGAACAGCAAAGGCATTGCTGTCGCTCACAGGCGCCACAAAGAAATGACCTTTGGGAGTCTCGGCCGCCGCGGGCAGCTGCAGCTGCGAGTACTCGCGGTCGTCCACCTCCACAAGCACACCGAGCGGCTGGTAGCGCAGCACCACGCACGCCGAGCGACTATCCACCGGAGGCTCTTTGGGGTGCAGCTCAATGCGCCGGATTATGCAAGGTCCCTGGTCAACATCGGCTCGGGCAAGATGCACGAGATGCGCGCCTTCATGCCAACAAACAGCGGGCACATGCCTATGAGATACCCGGTCTTCGTCATGTTCACCACTTTCAGCGCGGCGCTTGCCTGCTCGGCCGAAAGGCTGCGGCCGCCAGTGGGCTTGTCGATGGCCTGCGCAAAGTTGAGCTGCTGGCCTGCAGCACGAGCTTCCATGGCGGCCCGCACGTGCTGCAGGCGAGCGACTTGCTCCCATGAAAAGCCTCCCCAGTAAGCCGTCAGAAACTGCTCCTTGGCGATGTCTGACGACAAGCTTTCCGATTGCAGAGCTCGTGCCCGCAGCAGCGCCCAAAGGTCATCGGGCATGGTAGTGCCTTGCCGCACATGCGTCAAGATGCGCACCAGAGCTTGCCCGGACTCGCAAGAAGAAAATCGCCCGGTTCCCGTGAAGTGCGCAACTGTGCGCGCTGAGTTCTTGAACAGGAGGCGGCCCAGCTCTGAGGCGTTGCTGACTTCAGCGCCGGGGGCATCTTCTGCGTCGTCTGGCAGGGCTGTCTCTACCGCAGAGACAGCCTCCTGCCACTCGCAGAGACTCTTCTGCGCCGCGGGCCGGAGCTGCATGAAGTCGCCCGTTGGACGCCGACCGGCGCACGGCCGAACCACTCCTGCAAGTAGCAGGAAAGGTCCAGCCCCAGGGCGTCGCCTTGCTGCAGGGCGAGGCGATAGCCCGTCGCGTGGTACACATGCGGCGGCGTCATGGACAACTTGTCAAGCACACAAGCGCTGGCCCTGACGATGCGCTTCTCCAGGGCGTCGTTCTTGCCCTTCTGCGGTCCAGGCCAGCGTTCGGGTTCACGTTGGCCAACTTGTGCAAGGTCCTCACCTCTGGGCCAAGCAGCCGCACGGCGGCGTGCGTGGGGGCCCAGCGACGAATCCCTCTTCGCCAAAGAAATGGCGAAAGAGAGGTCGCAGGACCTGAGTGTAAGCCCAAGTCTTGCCGCTGCCGCCAGCACCCAGCCACAGGCAGTTGCAGCGCTCCGGGGCCTGGCCGTCTGCCCTGACACTGCTGGCATCCGTGCGCGTCGCCCACATCTGGTCAATCACGTGGACGACAGGCGCCACGGCGCGGACTTGCTGACCGTTCAGGGTGTGCTCCTGCAAGGAAAGCAAGTGCACGAATCCGGCTACAGCGCCCTTCAACATAACAAGCACCGCCTCTTGCAGCTAACAAAGTGTACACAAGCCCTTTCGCCAGCTTGAGGGCATACTCGCTGGGCCGCAGATTCTTCGCATTCAGTGCTGCGAGAAAAGGATCTACTGCGAGCTCAGGAGCAGCGTTGTCGCCTTGGCCAGGCTCGTTGAAGTCCCCGCCTTCCTCGCCCTCATCCTCTCCGCCTGGCAGCAGCCCACGCACAAACAAATACAAGAGAGCCGCAAAAGGCATTGGCTTTCCAAGGCCCACCCGCGAAATCAAAGCTCAAAAGCTCAAAAAAACGTATCACGCTGCTTTTAGACAAGCTTCGCGAGCCTCTAGTCAGCCTTTCCAGGTAGCGACGCTGTTGGTCAAAGACA